TATTTATTTGTATATATTTTTGCGATTGTTTCTTGTAGGAATTAAACATAGACCGCTCCACTCAATCCCCTCCGTGCATCTACAACACTCGATGACAAAGTTCGATCCAGACTCGTGCCCTTTACTCTTAAAATAATAATAATAATAATAATAAAAGAAAATGGGTGGGAGAGAAATAAGTTGTGGGTTAATGGATTTGGTCCAATGTGATTTCTTTTAACATTTTGAGTTTATTTCTTTATCTATTTCTCTCTTTTTTTTAGCTTGATTATTTTTATTTCTCATGTTTTCTTGCAATAATTTAGAGTTGATATTTTAATTCCTTTTTTTTTTTATGTTATTAGATTAAAAAAATAAAAAAAAATCTAAACTTTTTGGTGAAGTCTCCTACTCGGTAGGAACTAACGTCACAAAAAAAAAAATCTAAAATTTTCGACAAAGTCTCTTATCCGATAGGGACCGATGTCACAAAAAATCATTGTTTAATCGGGATGTCCTCCAAGCACATCGATTGTGGCAAGGCTTAAAGTGGATCCGATGTTTGAACCGACGTGTCACCCGACGAAGGGGATCGACGATTGTTTTAATACGATGCCGTGTCGAAAATTAAAAAATTCAATTTGTCGTTAAAAAAAAATAGGAGTTTAAAATCAGAAAATAATTTGACACAAATAAAATATTATAGGAGATGAATTTAGAACTAAATTAAAAGTGGTACCTTTTTCGAAAATGACACTTTTGAATGATTAAATATCTTCCCAAAAGTGTAACCAACTCCTTGCTATAGTAATCTCTAAACCAAGTATCTATTTTTAGATTCCTAGTTCCTTCAATACGAAGTGACAACTCCAAACTCGTAAATGATAATTAACACATAGATTTATTTTTCGAGGAGTCCCGTTCGATATCGGGTAGCGACAAAATGTTAGAACAGATTACAAAGAGTTAAAAGCAAGCTATGAAATTTAGTAAAACATAACTGATTAGATTGCACAATCAAAGTTATGATTTAGTCTTTGAAATCTCTAGATAAACCTTAAAAAACTATAGAGGTTGAAATCAATTGTGGATAAAGGCTTTCCTGCATCAATGCGTTCATTACTATAAGAATTTGCCCATTGTAGATACTGAGTAACACTTTTAGTATCATCTTTCTTAAGCTATTGGATGCCAAGATGAAGACTCATTATGCAAGCACTAAAGGAGGAGGCAATAGCACTCTCCAATGTAGTCCAGACTTCATGAGAAGTGCCATAATTAATGACAAGGGGCAGGACCTTTATGGATAAAGAGACAATGAGCATATTAAATTGGCTCGAGTGAGCATATTCAGTGTTGTTACATTTACTTTGTGTTTGATAAATATAGAATAAAATAAAATAGCTCCAGCCTCTATTAAACTATATCTTTTGTAACTAACTAAGTTGAATATATCTTGGAGTCTGCCTCCAGCTACAGCGCTTCTGTCTCTAACCAAATTTTTTTGTTTTGTTAAATGGACTTTATCATCAAATTGTCTTCATAAGCATAGGTTATTATTAATTTTGATCATATTAGTTGACCGATCAGGGTTTCATGCGAATTAACATGAGGAAAGTAGTTTTAGGCCATAGTAAATATACAAAGAAGGTCTTTCTCGTTACATTATTTTAACTTGTTCCACCACATGAATTTCCAATACAGCTTTCTTTTAAATTCTCTTTTTTTTTTTTTTTTTTTTATCGATTGTTGTTTTATCTGCTTTTTAGCAGTTTAATTTACTTTAATATGTTTTTGGTATTTTGTTAAATTTATGTCAGATAACATATATCACATTAAACAAATAAATAATAAATAAGTAATCTATAAAATTAAAAAATAATCACCCATTATAAAATTTAAGTCCTTTCAATAAAAACTCAAACTCAATAATCTAACGGTTTCTCTTCTAATTAAAATTACATAATTAAGCACTACAAGGAGATAATTATCGCAATCTCATTATACCATTTTAACAAGTTCCATCACACGAATTTCCAATGCAACTTTCTCTTAAACTCTACACTTTGTCTTTATTTTTTCCTTTGCAATTTCCTTTTGTCGATTGTTCCTTTACCTTTATTTTACCAGCTTGATTTACTTTAATCTGTTCTTAGTATTTAATTTGTTAGCTTTAGCTTGTTATAAACCTTCAAGGTTTATTAGGATTTTTTACTTGAAAACATTTTTCTCATGTTTTCTCATGATCACGAGATAAATTATTGCATTCCAACTATTCTAGAAAGAATTTTCTTGAAAATAAATAATGCGTATGTGTTTTTGCAAAGAACAGAATCGTTTTCAAGAAATATTAATGATTAAACCCGGGATCATTCTAAGGTCGTGGTAAAAAATTTCCAACCTCAAAATATTTAACCTATATAATCAAACTGGATCTTTCCTATTCAGACAGTTTCAAGCTTCAACACATGCATGATGCAGCCTTAGCTAAAACCATGTATGGATACAATTTATCCAGAGAAGCAGACAAAAAATATATATTGCAAAATTGATGGTTTTTTTTTTGGTTAGTGACAACTTTGTTTTTTCTTCCGAAGATGTAATTGTTGATTAGTAGTACTCTAATGATGTTTATATATTCTTGTTAACAATGAATTAGTTAATTTCCTTTAATTACCTTCCTGGCGTCGCCACGAAAAAGTATAACCACACTAATGTAGAATTAGGAAACTAATTATTGCAAAGAAAAACACTATGTCTATGGACTTAATAATCATTTTTGTTGATTATGCTCGAATTAGATGAGGATTCAATTAGAATTAGCTAGCTAGGCATCTGAGAAAATGACTCCGAGGATTTTTTGGTTGTCAACGAAGGAAACAAATTAATTACAAGTTCAAGAAGAAATTAACGTGATATACATTGGCAGAAAAAACAGCACTTCTTGATCAATCCTCCCAAGGGTAATTCATTAGTTTTTAGATGTTATTTGGTAGGAAAAAATAGAATGCTAGTAGTGGAAATGAAAATTTCATTCTTATTTTGTAGGTTTTTGAGTAAAAGAAATGAAATAAGAATGAGAATAGAAATAAAAATTAAACATAATTTTATTTTTATAGAAGAGAGGTGAGAATAAAAACAAAAAATAGAAATGAGATTTTTTTTCTCTTTAAAACAAAAATATATTATTATTATTTTGATAAAAAAATATTAATTTTATTAACGATATAAATCAAACAATCATTACCAAAAATGTTATTTGGAATTCCATAAAATAACTAAAATAGAAAAATAAACATCCACAAAGTTATATATATATGAACCAAAAAGTTCATTAAAAGTGGTTAAAACCTCTTACTTGCCTTTCACACGGTAGATTAAAGTTTGAAGTCTTGATTATTTATTATTTATATATTGAGATTTGGAATTTAATTAAATATCAGAGAATTTATAAATCAAGCAATTTTACCTTTATTATGTGGACGGAAAATGATTTATTTCTAAGACTGGAAATGAAAATTAAATGGATCGGAGCTATCTTTCAAGGCTGGTTTCGTCAAAAAGATTTCGAAGCCCAATATTTATAAGAGATGCCCATTTTGTGGCTAAACCACTAATCTGGGAGATGTTAACGGGCCGAGAGACCTCAATTTTACTTAGATTAATGGGCTGCTTTAGCAACTGCCCATTATTCTAAAAGCTATTAACAGGTGGCCCATTAGCCCACAAGATTGTGGAGTAAGTTATAAATTAGTCCCTCTAGTTTAAAAAAACGAATTAAATAGTTGGTTTTGTTTTTAAAAAAATAATTATTAGTCTTGATATTTTAAATTTTCTTGATACTTAATCCCTTTATTTCTTTTTTATTTTTCATTTTAAGATAAAAAATGAAAAAAAATTAATATTTTTTAAAATAAAATCATATTAAATTAAATGTGATTAATACTGATCAAAAATTAAATAATTAATTTTTAAAACAAGAGAGACTAATAATCCATTTCTAAAAGGATAAGGGGACAAATATATAATTTACTAGTCGTATGTGATTGAGAGACTTCTTGATTTTTTTTATTATTATTATTATTTGAACGTAGAAAGGTAGAAGAAAAGGCTTGTTTTGTGTTTTTTTTTTTAAAAGGTAGGGTTTTGGTCGTAGATAAAGAAATAGGAAAAAAAAAATTGACTTTTTTACTCTTGTGGGAATCAATTTGGATTAATTGGTATATGAAAGAAGGGAATGATGAATTCTATCATATTCAAGAGAATTACATTTTCTTAAAAGAAAAAATGAGAAGGAAATCTCATCCAATCAGATACAGAAAAAGTAATAGACAATTTCTATTTCACCTTCTATTATAATTTTTGCAAATCAAATATAGATTTAAATTACAAATGCGGTTGTAAAAAAAAATAATAGTGATCATGATTATCAATTATGATTTATTACGATAGTAAAATAATGATTTTAACAACTAATATCTCAAATTCATTAGCAGCATAAATTTATTTTGAAAAAAATTAAAAATATTTTTTTAAACAATAATATAATGATTGTTATTTAGATCTTTATTAAATGAATAACAATAATAACATTTGTTTATATAATGTTATTATTGACATTATTTATGTTAATTGGAGTTATGTTTATATAACGACGAAAAATAATAATGAGTTTGATCGATTGCATTAAATAACGACCGTTATATTATATAACAACTCGTTATTTAAAATTATGGAACCATACGACTCTTAAATTATTATGCCATTCTTAACATCTTCTGCAAAAATTACTATTATGTCATTCAAACTCAAGAAATCTTCATATATTGTAAGAAAAATGATACAGCTAGGTTAACCTAAACATCTTGTGTTGAAATTGAGATAGAGCATGTACTTGACTGAAAATATATAAGAAACAGGAGCATAAGCTTCTACTTCTACCTCTCTATATTGAAAGAAAAACCAAAAAAAAAAAAAAAAAGAGTTGGGTGTATTTCAAATGGAAAAAAAGAATCCACAAATTAAGGTCCATCATCTCCATCTCCAATCAAATTACAAATGTCTGAGCACTCCACCAAACTGCACAACAAAATAGAGAGAAAATATGAACATAGCAATGGCATAATAAAGTATAACTATGCTTGACAATGCAAAATCAAAAGGGAGTAGCTCCTGTTGACACACACAAAGTCCATCACCTCAAAAGGAGTAAATTATAAATTAGTTCTTCCAGTTCCAGAAATGAATTAATCAGCCCTTTTATTTAAAAAAAAATTAATTTTTATAGTTTTAAATTTTCTTATAACTCAATCCTTTTTGTTCTTTTTTAATTTTTTATTTTAAGGAAAATAAGTAAAAATATATATATATATATATGAAAAGATTGATGAGAAAAAATATTTTTTTTAATAAAGTATTACTAAATCAATTTAAAGAATTAATTTTTGAAACAAGAAAAACTAATTAATTCATTTCTAAAAAAATAGATACTCTAATTCATAATTTACCCCCTCACAGACATTCTCATAATTCATGTTAATCAATTCAATACAAATTCACTAAATGTGTATTGCATTATGATGATCATCATTTACCAGTAATTACGGCTTCGGAATCCTTGCTTGAAAACCACTATAGGCCTGCAGAAGATTGAAAAAAAATAATAATAAATTATTCAAACTATTTAAACCTAAAGTTTTCTTATGTCAAGCTGTACTTAAGTAAATGCTTAATAATAATAATAATCAACATTATTACAGCAACTAAAAACAAGAATAAATTATAAATTAATCCCTTTACTTTCAAGAAATAAACTAATTAATTCTCTTTTTTAAAAACTAATTATTTAATCTATTGACCAATGTTAATTATGTTTAATTTAATATTATTTTATTTTTAAAAATATTTTTTTTCTCATCAATCCTTTCATGTTTTTTAACTTTTTTTTTATTTTTCTATTTTTTAGAACAAAAAATGAAAATAAATTGAAAAAGAAAAAAAAATGAAGTTACAAGAAAATTTAAAAATATAGAAACTAAACAATTAGTTTTTAAAATAAAAAGGATTAACTAATTCATTTCTAAAAACTAGAGGGACTAATTTATAATTTACTCATAAAACAAGATAGAACAAACCTTCTAACATTCAAAGGACCTTCTCCGGGCGAGCCTTCACCACCTCGAATACAAGTGGTGACACACTTGATAGTGCATGACTCTGCTTTCCTTGACTTGGGCCGTTGGATTCTTGCCTTCTTGCAATCCTTGGGAGATACTGATGCACACTCCCCACCGGATAGTGTTTGTGGTATGTTCGAGAGAGTCTCTGTCTCTGCTTGTTGTTGTTGTTGTTTGGGTGACTCAATACCTACTCCGGCAGCCGTTGAGGCTAAAACCGCACAAGCTGCAAACAAGCTTGTAATGGTCAAGCTGAACCTGCTGCTGCTGCTACCTCCGGTGAGGGAGCCTGTGCTCTTGTTGATATTGCTACTGCTTCTGACAGCTCCGGCAAGAATATAGGATGATGATGGGCTGGTTTTGCTAAAAACAGCTGGACTTGGGGCATAAATTAGCATTATGCAAACTAGCTACCTACTGATCTTGATGCACAGAAACATACAGTCAGTTTTGATGAAGCATCCTAGTTGAAGAGGCCATCCAGTTCCAAGCCAAGTTGTCCCAAATTTTCCTTATCTACAACTTACAATTTCAATATAAGATAGTGTTGGCTAATTAAGTGCTTCTATTCAATGTGGGGTTTTGGTTCCATCTTTCTCAACACCAATCCTGTGTCCCTGTCGTATCCACCTGTCAAAATTTATGTGGCCTGGAAATGTCACTGATCCTCCTACCATTAATTCCACTTTTTGTCTTGTTAATTAAAGCTGAAGTCATGTAAAGAATAGAGAGTAGAGATAGACAACATTACAACTCGAATCAATCGTGTTTCATAAAATGGATGCAGAATATACAAGCATGTCACTGTTCATTGCCAGGTGCATGTCTGAATATTAAATCTCTCATATGGAAAAAAATAAAATAAGTGTTTATGTATAAAATTACTCCAGGTTCTTTATACATAAAATGAACCATGTTTATTATGTTCATTAGCTACCCTACCCATCAATTCATCAAATGAAACATGTTTTTCATTGCTTTCTCGATCAATATCATCAGCTTGCAAATCATTTGGAACTGAAATATACATTTCACTATATCTTCCGAGTCTATACACGAATATACAGAAAGAAAACTATATGGCAGTCAGGAATCGTAACAAAGGAAACAGAAACAGATTATGTTTTGTTACAAGCAAACAGATGTCGGACAAGAAAAAATTTCCCATTGGTGGGAGTAAGTATGAGACTGGTATGTTATTTCCTTGGATAGAGCAGAGTCAGTCAAGTGTTCTTCTCCAAAACAGATAGTGCTGGTGTCAAATAGTTGTTCGCTTTGTCCGGTAAATGCGCCACCTACACAAGAAATGAAGATATTGTAGTATGTTAGTTCTATCCAAGCCTTGGAAAAACAAATTTATGTTCTATCTTCTTGCATTAACAGCTATTATACTTTGTATTTATGTTCCTTACAAGTTCATAGAGCTCCCTTCCTTGCTCGGCAACGTATTCATAACAAACCTGCAGAATCAAAATTCAGTTTTCCATCTCACTTGAGCTAATTTCAAACCTAAACTGAAAGATACCCACATCGAAGCTCTTGTTTCTTGCAGTCGAATCATGCAATGCCTTCACACAGATATCAGCCACGTCGGCACAGCTAATTCCCTAATATAAGGAAAATTATTAGGATTTTGAATTAAGTTCAATAATGTCCTCTTCTATGCAGATGGATAATTAGTTCTCACTTGAGAAATCCTGTTTCCTTGATCAAATATGAGTGCACGTTGACCACCTGGTTCCTCCTGCAAAAAGTAACCTTTCATTATGTTCATCCATTTTGTGGCTCGGCTTCAACAGTGCAAACATCTAATTTGCTAGAGATAAAGCAACTTGAATAACTATACATTACATATTAACTTGGATAACTACCAGTAATTGTTCATTGAGATGTCTTTAGGATGACTTTAGATACGACATCAAAATACTACCACTTAGAGCCTAGTGGATTCAATTAGAAGCTGCTATTGACAAAAAAAATTCTTCAGATTTTACAACAGAGCAAAGAAGCAATTGCACTGGCATATTTCTATGTACAATGACATATTGTTATCGCATACTCTATCACTGTTTTCTTTTCCCAGTATTACGAGGTCGGCACTACCAAGAAAAAATATATCAGCAATGTCAGTACTATTGTTGATCTTAAAAGCAATCAGTCATCCACTGCTGTATGTTTATTTTTCCTCATGGAGTGGCTAATGAATGTTAGACTTACTGTTAGGGGACCAGGGCGAATGATTGTGTATCCAAGTCCTGATCTCCTCAGCGAGTCTTCCCCGGCCTGGAAAATGTTCGACCACAAATGTGACTAAACGAGAAAAGAAACAGAAAGAACAAAATCAGAAAATGGTGCTAACCCTCTTGGCCTTCAGAACTTGCTCTCTTCTTACGGGTTCTACACCTAATCCAGTACATGAGACTAAGACAAAGTCTGTTTCTTGCCCAGTCTGCACAACAGTTATGATAGTCTTAATAAATAAGGAAAAACTTCAGTCTCCATATATAACTCTTAGAACAGAAAAGATTATCTAATTGTTTTCCAAGCAGCACTTACAGGCAAAGCTTTTATATATTCCAATATAAGCTTAAAGCTTCTCAGGTCTTGCTTCACTCCACCAGATCTTTCAACAGGTCTCTGCAGTGAGAATATTGAATAGAATCAGCATAGCTGGACACGCAAAAAAAAGCATCTCCACAAGGTGTTTACTTGTAAACCACATCATAAAAAATCCTTTCAACGACATCTTTTCTGGAAACTCCAATTTTTCAATTCATGCATGAAGATAGAAAATCTAATTGCAATGTTCCAATTCTTGCAAAAAGATAAACAAACTAGAAAATTGACTAATCATAGTGACAACAATGCTCATCCTATGATACTGATAAGCAATTCAATCAAGAAAATGCAACAATGTCAGAGGACTTCAAAAGGAAGCCATAACTAGCAAAGATGGCTTAAATTATCTGCACTTATTAGTCATGCATGATGGATATATGGATCTGTTAGACTGAATTCTCAAGCAACTTCTGAACAAATTATGTAGTGACAACTACAAAGGAAATTGCATATCCAGTTGAGCATTTCAGCAAGTTTCCAGATGAATTTTAAAAATAAGAATTCTCCGCCATGGAAAAGGGATTTTCATGTGATAGTTGCTCGTAACTGCTATAGCTAGTTCACCATGATGTTCCACAAATTCTTGTTTCATAGTTGCTTTAACAATTTTTATCCAGTTTTGGCCATTCTTAATAATTAGGAACACCATCTCATCCTGTTCTGTAAGCAAAATTCAACTTAGGATCAAGAGATCAAGACCCAAGGCAGGTAAAAGAACCATCATCTCACAACTAATTAGAGCAAATGGAAGCAGAAATCTCATATTATTTTAACTTTGCATTTTAAAATGAAAGAGCATAATGTTTCTTAAGTAGTTTAATGACAATCTACGGATAGACAAACCTGTCTTCGGGGCTCAAAGCGAATGGTCATTGTGTGTACAAGAAATGGGTCCAATGGCGGATCATCTGGATTTACTGGGCGAAAGGAAGAAAATGGCACTCTTACCTGCCATTTACGCAACACGGAAACCGGTTCTGTATAGCACTATAACAACTTCAGCTTCTTGAGTAAAGTATGAGAGATGCTTACCCTACAAAATCCTACTTTGGTGCTAATTCTTGCAAAGTACAATTTGCTTTGGGTTGTATCAGCTGAAGGACCAGCTTCTAGTAATAAAACATAAGATCTTCCATTTCCTCCGACAGAAAGAACTAGACCTTCATACCTAACCGCAAGGAAAATTTTATTTTAGGAGCAGGATAAGCATTCAAGGTAGATGCAAAAGAATAAGCCAACAAGAAATCCATCAACATCAAGTTTCTAGTGATATAAATGGCTGTTGATTTTTATGTATCTTGTACCTGTCAAGAGTATAACCCAGAGGAAGTGATAGCTTTTTTGAAAGTTCAACATAGCCTCCCCTAGTGAAAACATACCCTATAGGCAACATGAATAACAACAGAATTAAAGAAAGTATGCAGAGTCCATTTAGCAGTTGTATACACAACATTTCACTGAATGTAAAGGTAAAGGTAAAGGTAAAGGTAAATGTAGTCTCTCTTTCACCTGAGAAAACTGCTTCTCCAGCCTCGGTGAACTCAAATTTAGCATCCATTCCTGCATCGTACTTTGAAGCAACTGCATCCTGGAAGTAAGTTCCTTGACGGATTTCCCAGCCATTCAATGAATCTGCAGATTTAAACTTCGCAAGCAAGAGCTTGCTTTTGCTGCTTTTTCCAGCTCTTAGTTGAGCTAGTTGGTTGTTATAGTCCTGCAATTTTGTTGGGTGTGATTAATAATAGACACGGCAAGGGAAGTACAATTCAGTTGGAAAATGAAAGTGAGGCATTACTTGAAGGGCTTTGGTTAGGTTAGAAACCCCTTGTTGATCAACTCTGAAAAGATCTCCAGTGATGGAAGAACGAGCAGTGGCACAATATATGATTTTGTTGCAGCCTTCCACTGCTTCCTTGAGGGTAGAGGGATCACCCACATCTCCTGTTACTATCTCCACTGACCTTGGAAGCAGGTTCACAACCTCCTCATCTGCCTTCCTCACCAAAGCCTTCATTAATTACTTAATTAAATAAGCATCAAGGAATGAAGAATATTTATCCCAACCCCATCTATAACAAGAAAGAAAGGAGAAAACAGACCTTGACAGTGTAACCCCTGAGCATAAGTTTCCTCACAACAATGCGGCCAATGCGACTGGTGGCACCAACAACAAGAACAGTGGTATTCTGGGCACCAGGGATAGCGAACTCACACATGGGACCTTCCCTAACGAGCAATGCATCAAGAGCTTCCTGATCATCTGCACGTGTCGTTCTTGATATCTGTCCCAACCCAGAGAACTTCCTCCACACCTCATCAAATATCTGCCTTGACTTCCTTCCAAGTCCAACTGGGTTCACATCCTCCAAACTCAGAGGCTGCTGCTGCTGTTGCTGTTGCTGTTGCTGCTGCTGCTGCTTTGTTGTGCTTTCCTTGTTATATTCATCCACATTCTCTTTCTCTGCCTCTTTCCTGTCCTTGATGGCTCTCACCACCACTAGACTGCTCCAATTCTTGTTGTTCTTCACGGTTGAGAGTGGGGGAAAGGTGAAATTGAAGTGATTGGTGTTCCTCAAACCAGCACTTGCATTTGTTGTTGGACTCAAACTCGCACTTGCTGCTCTCATCTTTTCTTCTTAGCCAATTCCTGCTACCACTGATTATTACTCAATGAATTTATCTAAGATATGATATACAGTAGTAATCAACAAATGATTCCTTTCCTTTTATCAAATTGCAATATATATACAGTGGTTAGCTTCTGTCTATGGATGAACTGCTACCATTTTCTTTTCCTTCTGTCAACTAAAAAAAATACTTAGCATCCATATATGCAGAAATTGAATTGTGAGTGGATAGTTGTGAAAAGAAAATGAGGAAAGAAGGAAGGCAAAAGAGAAGAATGATTGGTTGGCGTTTCATGTTTGAGGCTTGAGAGATCAAAATCACAAAGACAAATGACAAAAAGAAAGTAAAATACAGACCACAGAATATTAGACCACAGAATGTTATTAGAGGTTTTTCCAACAGTACCAATTAGAGCAACCAAACCTGCCACGTTCACGTCCCATTTTCCTCTCGTTCCTTTGACACTTGGTATCCAACCAGCACTAGCACTAGCATTCCCATTCATTTTTTTACTATTAAATTGTTTTTCCAAAGTGACCCTTTTTTTTTTTTTTGACTTTGTTCTCCTTGAATTTTCTCAAGGGACCTCAACAAATACATGGAGCACTTTCAGTACTGTAGCTAAATTAAAATGGAAAAAACAAGGAAAAAAAAAAAAAGCAAGTAAATAAAAGAATTAGTGCAAATTTGGAGAATTCTACTTATTTCTTCCAACTTTAAATAAGATGATCACAACAATTATACGTACACTAGCCAGCAAGAATGGCATTAAACAAAATACAAGACTGTAAAATCAGGGAATCACCAATTCGGGCCACTACCACATTACATATTTACATCAGTACTCCTTCCTATAAATTCCGATTCAGGGAAACAGTTAGCTGCTAACGCTGCTGAACTGGGAAAACTTTCCGGCAGAGAGTTTCACTTGCTTTTCTTCGCAGGGCAAGGAAAGTCATGTCATCCAAGCATGAATAGAAGAATCATTCCCTAACAGCTGTGATGATAAACCAACATGTTGTGCTATTGTAATATTTTTCCCTTCTGAACCAGCCACCTTTTATCGGAAATTTTTTGTTACTGCCTCATTTCAAGCAGTGTGACACCCTCAAAGCAGCATATATCTATTGTCCCCTTTTCTCCAAAAACAACCATATTATACACAAAAAGGTTAACCAGAATTGCCAGCAATTTCAGCAGCTCTCTGCCTCATCATCTTGATCACAGCAGCCCTTCGTCGTGAATCCGACTGCTGCTGAAGTCTCCACAAAAATTCTTTCAAATCCCTGGACAAACATATGTGCATACCTTTATGAGAATTTATGATATAATGTTGCCCCAATGACGTTGAAGATTTTAAAATAAGATTGAAGCATAAACCTGCAGCGTGGAACATGGCATTCTGATTCTTCGCATGCACGAGCATGAAGTTGAAGGAGATACCACATCTTTTTACACAGAACACAGCCTCCAGATGCACGAGTTTTGCAATGTATCCCATGCCGGAAAAGACCTTTCATCTTGCAACAATTAGGATATTGGCAAAGTGGAGAACGGCATTGTGATGCATGCACCACAAGATCAAGCATTTTCCTTCGCTGCAATTTCAAATAAACAATTATATTCTCCCCATATGACATGAAATTTTGACCAGAAAAATAAACATATCCTGATGGTAAAATGGAGTGTTAAATAGTCAAGTTTCGCAATAGTCATCCAAACATTCATTCCTACACATTGAGGAATTATCGATAGCATAACTTCTTGTATATTTCCACAGAACAATTTGTGCAAGAAAACGTTCATAACACAGATGAGGTTAGAAACTTTCTTTGCTTAGATCCTTTTCATTGTGAACCAACCTCGAGTAGCAGTAACTTCGTGAATAATATAGCCCATTTGATGGGGTTAAGGGAAGTCTATAGAATTTATTAAGAGGAGAAATTGCAATCACTTATAAATAAGTACATGAAAATGCACAAAAGCTTCATAGCATCTTCCATTGCTCGTTCCATATAATTAAGTAGCAACCAGTTCACAGGTGTTCAAATGTAACAAATCAACAAAAAATGAATGTTGCAAGATTTACTAAGAACATGCAATTATATTTTTCAGATAAGAATCAACAGTGTAAAGAACAGAAAAAATGTATTGTACCTGCACAACCCTCAATTGCCTGGCTTCCTTGTTCTGTGCATTGCGCTCAGCCAGAGACAGATGATTTGTCAACTTATGAGGATGATCCGTACCCCCTTCCTTTTGATAACAAGAATTGCATACATCACAATCAGGGCAATTGTATTTTCAACGTAAGAGTCAAAAGAATAAAGAACAGAAAATATGTATTGTACCTGCACAACCTTCGATTGCCTAGATTCCTTGTTCTGCGCATCGCACTCAGCCAGGGACGGATGATTTGTCAACTTACAGGGATGATCCATACCCCCATCCTTTTAATAACAAGAATTGCACACATCACAATCAGGACAATTATATTTTCAGGATAACAGTCAAAAGTATAAACAGAAAAAATGTATTGTACCAGCACAACCTTCGATTGCCTAGCTTCCTTGTTATGCACATTGCGCTCAGCCAGGGGCGAATGATTTGTCAACTTATGAGGATGATCCATACCCCCATCCTTTTGATAACAAGAATTTCATACATCACAATCAGGGCAATTATATTTTCAAGATAACAGTCAAAAGTATTAAGATCGCAAAAAATGTATTGTACCTGCACAACCCTCGATTGCCTAGCTTCCTTGTTCTGCGCATTGCGCTCAGCCAGGAACAGATGATTTGTCAACTTATGAGGATGATCCATACTCCCATCCTTCTGATAACAAGAATTGCATACATCATAACATGGGCAAACCTCACAACGCCAGCCTTGACCAGTTTCGATGTCAAGATGACATATATTGCATGTTGTCACAAATGCAAGAGCAGTTGGATTATGGAGATGGTAAAGGACCATCATTGAGGAATGTTTAGCCCGGCGTAAAGTGTCAAATTGATAATGGTTTTCTTGACAAAGACTCAAAAATGCCTGTCTCGTGTCAAAAAATTCACTCTCAAGAATTTCATCTTTATCTTTTGTGTCGGCAGGTACATCAGCAATTTCAACCTGCAGAATTTAGCAGTGTTATTTCATAGTTAAAGAAAAGGAAAAGGCTTCTACTCAGCACCCAAACTGGATTTCAAAATAAGGACCTTTTCGTATAGATTGAATAGAAGTGTTTCTAGGGCCATGCAACTTACAGGATAGAATGCATGTTTTTCCCTTTGTTTGATGGGATGTCGCTCTCTTTCTTCACATTTCTGTTCTACTTCATAACACCTTAGGAAATACAAGCACAGAAATCAAAAGCTTTAAAATCACTAAAAGAATTTATAATTAGGAAATGTAAAGCAATTTTTCAAGAGTCATCAATTGAAACCAGAGTGGACGCCCTAGCTCTTGAACTGAAAACCTAGACCCCTAATTTCCTTCATGGTAAGTCGCAGCCCGCACAAAAGCACAACCTTCCAAAGAATGGTAGGTTACTAAGCCCTTAAATAGATTGTATACATATATAGAGCTTATAAACATAGGTTACTAAGACCTTAGCTATGAATTAAGTGTGTAATTAGCTGTATATTTGTTTCCTATTTAAAATAGATTAGGCAAGATTTTCTCCTTAAAGTAGGAAACAAGTCCTAATGTTTAGGAATCTTTTTGTGCATATAAACATATGTTATGATATACTAAAATTAGGTCATTTGAAACCTAAATATTCACATGGTTTCAGAGCAACTCTAAACACCTCATGTTCTTCGCACAGCCATCCTAGGTTAGCTCTTCACCTACTGCTTTTTCCATTAGCCCTGTACACTGCTTATTTCAACAATTTTCACCAACCAGTCCATACTTTATCTCATTCCCACAGCAACATCTACGACCAAACATGATAAGCACCCACATATCTTCTATTGAAACCCCAAAATCCTCCAAAGCTGAAATTATCATGTTCAACAACCACAGAGGAGACATGACAAACTACTAATCCACACCCATCATCACCATATTTAGCACAAAACCACCACCAAATGTATGCAAAGCCTTCTATGAGGTCCGAAGGGAAGAAAGCATACATCATTTGATGCTAGGAACAGAAAAATCAGTTGCTAGTAGTGAGTCATCAGCGTTGGCAGTCCGAAATCAGCAGCAGCCACGTAGAGGGAGAAGGCCATGGTTTGAACATTGTCGCCGCTCTGGTCATACCAAATAAACATACTGGACACCCCATGGAAAACCAACTGATTGGAAGCCAAAAACAACAAAAGAAAATAAAATCTGAGGTAGTATGGTCAGTAATTTAGAGCAGGCTACAACTCTTAGCAAAGAAGAACTTGATGGATCAAGAAGGATATTACAATCACAATAAAATCCACTAGTTATTAGGTCTTGTTCAATAGCTCAAAAAAGTAATTTTCTCAAAGCTTTGACCGTCAAACAAGAGCTCTATAAGCCTTGGATTGTAGAATCTAGTGCTTCCGATCACATGACAGGAGATAGCGAGTTTTTCACACATATTCTCCCCGTAAGGATGCTCTCACAGTTAGAATTACAGATGGTTCTTTGGCAAAAATTGAAGGGACTGGTTCGATTACGGTATCCAAGGACATAACACTCAAGTTTGTTCTATATGTTTCTAATCTAGACCGCAACCTACTCTTCATAAATAAAACTACCTAAGATCTTAAGCTGTCTCGCTAATTTTTCTCCTCATGTTTGTGAATTTTAATATGTGACTTTAGAGATGATAATTGGTAGTGCTAGAAGTCATGCTAGGCTTTATCATCTTGAAATTCAATCGGATTCTATAAGACAATCTCATCTAAGAGAGAGTGACCCTATTTTTTGTAAAACTAATTCTTACTTGTCTATTAATGAGTGGAAAACCGAGAGTGAGAGGTCAATCATGGTATGGCTTTATAGGTTAGGGCACCCAAGCTTTATGCACTTGTCTAAGCTTTTTTCAAGTTTATTTAGAAATAAAAGTGCTAGTTCTTTTCAAAGTGAAATTTGTTAATTTGCAAAGCACACTCGTAGTTTGTATCCAATTCAGCCATACAAAGCATCAAAACCTTTTTCTATAATCCATAGTTTCCTTTAGGGCCTATCTCAAGTTCCAAATGTCACAAGAGCTTGGTAGTTCATCTTTTTCATAGATAGATGATCACAAACGACTCACATGGATTTTTCTCATGAAAAATAAATCAAATGTTCCTTAAATATTTAAGAATTTTAACACAATGATAAAAAATTAATTTCAAACTTTCATTTAAATGCTTAGAACCGATAATGGAAGGGAGTTTTTTAATTTTAATCTTGGTTTGTATCTATCAACCGAGGGAATCATACATCAAAGTTCATGTGTAGTTACCCCTCGGCAAAATAAGATAGCCGAGAGAAATAATAGACACCTTCCGGACATTACCAAGTCTTTGTTGTTTTCATCCAATGTTTCAACACATTTTTAGGGTGAGGTTGCACTTACAGCAAGCATACCTATCAATCAACTTCCATCAAAAGTATTAGATTTTTCCACTCCAAATAAAGCATTTTTACGAGCGCTTTCCTTAAAATCATCTAATTTTCACTCTTCTTCCAAAAATATTTAGGTGTACTCGTGTTTGTGGATATCCATCAACAACATCGAACCAAATTTGACTTTCGATACGCCAAAGGTATCTTTGTATGCGGGAACACCAACTAAAATGGTTATAAATGCTTTTATCCCGACAACCAAAAGTTTTATCACACCATGGATGCCACATTTTTTTAAACAAAACCCTATTACCCCAAAACCGATATTCGGGGGAGAATTTTGGTAAGATTCAACCACAAGAATATCATTTTTTTTCTTAGAGAGCATAGATTGCACATTAGAAACACCCGAAACTATAAATGCAGACTAATCCACCGAAAAATGCTTTACCCTATCTCCAAATGTCCAACTTGAACTTGAACCGTAACCAATTAGTTCTACATCTCTCAAGATAATTGTCTATCACGGAAAAAGGAGAGAGTCGAAGGAAACAGAGACTAGCATATTTACAACTAGTGCTAGCATCCGAACATGAGGTAAATATCCCTACATCCGATTTACAAGTTATGCAGGAAAATTCTACGAGTTCTAGTTCAAGTGATCTTGCTAATTTCGATGAGAATCTACCCGAGTACACTCAAGAAACAGGTAAGAGAATGCGAAGTAGGTCATGTACCCTATTGGGAACTATGTAAACTATGATGGACTATCTTCATCTTACCAAGCATTCATTAGCAAAATCAATTCTATATCCATTCCGAACTCAATACAAGAAGCCATAGCTATCCCGGAATGGAAGAAGTCGATCAATGAAGAAGTTAATGCTCCGGTGAAGAATGTTACTTGGGAAATTACCGATTTGCCTCATGGAAAGAATGTGTGTGATTAGGTGCAAATGAATCTTCAATATAAAAACAAAAACAAATAATAGTATTGAAAGATACAAAGCTTGATTGGTAGCTAAGGGATTTACTCAACCCTATGGCATAGATTATGAGGAGACCATTACTCCGATAGCAAAACTCAAAACTATTTGAATACTCCTCTCTCTTGTAGTAAATTTGGATTGACCCATTCATCAATTGGATGTCAAGAATGCATCATTGAAAGAGAATCTAGAAGAGGTGGCCTATATTGACATTCCTCAAGGACTATAGAACTCATCAAACATTAACAAAGTGTGTCGACTAAAGAAGTCACTTTATAGTTCAAACAATCATCCGGAGCTTGGTTTGAGAGATTTACCGAGTTATGAAAGATAATGAGTATATATAGGAACAATTTAATCATACAATGCTTATAAAACATTCTTTAGAAGGATTGATTTACGTGTTAATTGTCTATGTTGATGACATTGTTCTAACGAGAGGATTATGCTCGAGGAGATTTCAAGAGTCGAATTTTTGAATAGAAAATTTGAGATCAAGGACCTAGGTAAACTCAAATACATTTTAGGAATGGAAGTGGCTAGAACTAAGCAAGGCATTGCAGTCTCTCAAATGAAGTATGTACTATATCTTCTAAAAAAACAGGTATGCTTTGGTTTAAACCCGCAAGAACACCTATGAACTACACCACCAAAGTTAGGATTGAAAAGGACAATACTCCTATAGATAAGGGAAGCTATCAAAGCCTCGTAGGGAAGTTGATCTATCTAGTATATACTAGGCCAAACATAGCATTCTTAATAAGTGTTGTTAGCCGATTCATGAACATGTTAGTGTAGGTGTCCAAGATCCAACCATGTATGGATGGGCTTGAGTTGATGTAATGTTGCATTATTATCTTGATAATAATAAAGAAGTCATTTTATTAATTCTTTTGTTTACATGTTCGAGTAGAATAAGATAGAAGTCCTTATGATATGTATTTGCAATAGTGATTGATCGAAATATGTAAGATAAACACCAATACACATAAATTATATCATTAAATATCTCAAGTCGTAGCATCATCAAGAATGGACATTGATAACATGCGAATAGACTTGCGAGTGTTATGCTCATGTATGATAGCAGTAGGAGATCTCACATCTATTGGCATGGTGATGCCAAAGCAAGCACTTAAGTTATTTATGTTAGATAACATATCACTAAACTTGACTCGCCATGAGAACCCATTTGGTTTTAGTCTATCGGAATCTCATACGAGATGAGTACAAATGGTCCTTAGACTTGAAATCATCATGGTTATCTCATTGGAGGACTTATGCACTTTGACACTTGTTTCGATGGATCCATTAATGGGTTGCACGTGGACGATTCGTTGGGTGTACTAGCAATCCAATGGAGATAGGTGTATAACTAAAATAAGACATATCATTCCTTGTATACTAAAGGAGTTATCACATTGCACTTAGATAAATATCTCGCTCAAGAAAAATCTATGATCATAGTAGGAGTACACCAATAGAGCATAGTTGGTTTACTCTAAAAGCTAAGACGCTTGAGAATCGGAGAAAACTTGTGTGATCATAATCAAACAAGACTAATAACCAAGTTTGAGATCACACTCGTGATAAGTTGACATGAGGATTGAATTGTATGATAACCATGCTCGTAAAAGGTAATAATGGATTAACTAATCCTTCAGAGAATTGGTTAGTCATGATGCCTTGGTAGAGGTCAATCTTGATTTATGTATCAAAAGATGAAAGAAGAGTCTTTTATTCTCGATACATTGTCAACATATCTAAGAGCCTATTGAGTCACACGCATACATTCAAGTATTCACATTACAAATGAGAAGCAAGGATATAGAAAAAAGTTTTCAATTATGAAAGTTTCCCATTCATTTTGAAAAAAAAAGTTTTCAAAATGAAAAGTTTCCTAAAATGAAAAATGAAAAATTTCCTAAACCGAAAAAATTTTTATTTTAGAAATTGATTTCCTAATTTGAAAATTAGTTTCAAATTTCAAAATAAAGAACCTAAGAAGAAAGAAGCTTCCTAATTTAGGTTAAAGGGTATTTTGAGAATTTTTTTCCTAATATGAACCCCACCAAAATAATCTAAGAATATTTATTTAGATAGTCCAAATAAATTAATTGAGCTAAAATACTTTTGGCCCATTAGGTTTCATTAAAAACCTTAAGATAATTTTGATGGGAGGATAAACATCAACTTTATTGGATAAGGATAAATGTTTTAAAGATAAATATCAAGTAGTCCATGTATAAAATAACTCTTTATCCTCGGAGGATAAATAAGTAACAACTTAGAGTCTTTTATGGACTCAAGGTCGCCACTTTCCTTGTCCTCCAAGGACAAGGAAACTCTCTCCTTATAAATAAGAGGAGAGGGGCGGCAAAAAGAAATAGAGAACCTAATAGAGAATTTTGACCAAAAAGAAAAAAAAATGTAAGGAAAAATTCGGCCAACCTCCAAACAAAAGGGACACACGGCCAAAAGAGAAAA